ACATTGGGCAGTAGCTTTTGATGTTCAAAATCCACTACAAAAATTCTTGTAGGTTACTCAAAAAAACACGATATGTTCTTCCAGGATGAAAATGTTACCCAGAGAGAAAATGTTAAATATACAATGGCTATCTAAAGCAGAAGTTCCCTACATATGCTATATAGTGCAAAACAGATATCTAGTGATGGATGTAGCAGCAGAAAAGAGATAACGCAAAGGTGTACCAGAACAGCCATTGGAGCTTGACGAGTGAGTGGAATCTCCAACTAGGACCACCAATGAATGATCTTGATGATAATCAACACACGACAAACTCTGAGGTAACTGAGGAGATCTAGTTGATGGCACATCTTTAGTCACTATAGAAACTTGGTATAAAGTTGCCTCTAGTTCTCGAGTGTAATCAAATTTATGGACCTTGCAATCAGTAGTAAAAATGTAGAAACCCCTATAAAATTTACAAAGATCATATTAGCTATTGCCAAAATATTAGCAACAATGATGATTAACATTTTTAAAGGAAAGGCTCTTAACTGCAAATAACAGAGAATCACCTTTGTGAACTTGAAGCGTCCTGTACAAGCAAATCAATGATAGGAGAAGACAGCTTCAACTGATTGCTTGTTCTCCTAGTTAATACATCTCCATTTTCTTTTATGAGACACAGTGAGTTTGAATCATCAAGCACACCAAAAATGCCTTGGTCCTCCAGCCAGGCCCCGTTTGTAAAAAAGGCCATTCTATTATTATCTGACCAGAAAGAATTGGACATAGTTGTTAAACTATCATATCAAAACAATTTTAATAACTCCCATGCATCATAATCATGTGAAACCAATGCAGCACAATGCACATGAAACAGTACTGCAAGATGCACTGCCATTTTTATGAAACAAAATTGCAAATCAAAGAAAGCAGATCGGACTGCTGGGCGTGTGGCAGATTTTTTTGGCATCAATGGTAATAATAGGAAAATAAAATCTACTGCTACGGCTCCTAAGCTCTATGAAGTCTGAATTTGCACTGCATTTTTTAGGAGATTCAAAAGTAATAACTTCTGCCAAACATGTGATAATGAACAAATAATAGCAAGATGTTCAGGGACAAAACAAACTTACAATAGGAGTTCAACTTTTCTTCCTGAATACTTAGTGTGAAAATAATAATTTTCCACCCAGATTCTTTAAAGCTCATCACCAATCGTGAATAGCACTCTTATTCAAAACTACAAGCATGAAACGATATTGCCATGACAAAAGAAAGACAGCTTAAACAATTCCCAGTGTAAGCTAATGTTTAAGAATGCAATGTATGAGCATCACAGATTCACAGGTATAACATTTCACAAAAGGACTTGCACCAGTAAGAGCTTGTGCAGTTTTTTCCAATGAATTATACTAGGCAATACTCAATGCAATGTGGGAACAGGTAGAAAGCTGACTGACTTGTATATATGCCGCAGGGTGATTCATAGCCATCGCTCTTTCTCAAGATATAAATGCGGTTCCCAACAGCTACAGCAACATACTCCGCATTCCGCGAGACGAACAAGGATGCTGCATTTTCCCTCTTCCTCCGCTTACTCCCCCCAAGAGTGTTGTACCTACTCCACCTCTCCCTGAGCTTACTTACGCCTTCCAAGGCGGTAGCAGCACGTGGAAGCTAAGTTGTTAGGAGCCTTTCCTGGATGGACATTTGGAGGATTTGAAACTGATTCGAGGGTAGGGGGTAAAAGATCCAACCTTGGAAGGAGAGATACGAGAGGACGCCCCCTCCTTCACCTGAACTGCCACCGCTCGCTCGAGCGGTTTCATCTCTTTCCTGCGGTTGCAAGAATTACATAACAGCAAAGATAACAACGAATGCCACCGAGGTAAATGCAAAATCTGGATGAATGGACGGGTTCGACTTCCACACTCACACAGGGGATTTCGTGGGATCCAGTCGCGTGGCGGCCGATCTCGTACAGTGCGTCGACTTCCGCCCCCATCTCTCCGGAGATCTCCGGGTTGGAGTTGGAGCACAGGAGCAGGTTTCTTCCTCTGGAGATTTGACGGTTTCCCCTAACTTGATTAGCCTTCGGTCTTCTCAATCAAATTTCACCTCACGAACCTAAGTTTTAGACAGGACGATCATTGGTAAACTGAGATTTCAAGAAGGAATAAGAGAAGGGAAAAAAAGAAGGAGCGGGGACTTGCCGGTCGCCGCTCGTCGGTCGGAGTCCTCTCCCCGTCGGCCGTCTGGACAGAACGGAGGAGCGAGCCCGCCTCCCTTGTGCGTTCGGGACAGAGGCGAGAGACACGGCCCGGCTGCACTAGCGAGCAGGCCGGCTTCCGGGGGAGGGGCGCCGGAGACGGAGTTGCCGCCGAGCTCGCGCAGCTGCACCTCCGGGTCGCCTCCAAGCTCGCGCTGCCGCCGCTGCAGTCCACCTCACCTCTGGGTCGTCTCCAAGCTCGCGCCTACAGGGAGGGAGGGGGAGCACCACACCGCCGTCTCCTCCGGGCTGTTGCGCCGGGATCGCGGAGAGGGTCGGGTCGGGGAGGGAGGCGGAGGTGGATCTGGCGGAGGCGGCGTCGGGCGGAGCAGCGGCTGTGGGCCTGGAGGTGAGCAGGCGAGGCGGAGGAGCGGCCGGGGCGGGCTGTCGGGCGGCGCGGCGGCGGCGGCGGCCCTGTAACCCTATGGCGAGCGCGAGCGGGGAGGGGATCGAGCGAAGGAGAGGGACGAGTCGTTTTCCTGGGCGCGGCTGGGCTGGCCACCAGTGGCAGTTCTCTCGTAATTGGCTTCTCAAATAGGGGTACTATCTTAAATCGAACCGTTTTGTTTTTGTTTCTTTTTTCTTTCGGAAATACTAACGCCCACGCAGGTGGGCGTCTGGCAACTCGCCCACACGCATGGATCCTCGTCCAACCAATTCTACACGAATCTTGGTGCATTTTAGCAGTTTTTGTGTGCCATGTAGGACTGGGCTGGTGTGTGAGCATTCATTCGGTCGCCCACACGTCCTTTTTCACCACATGGGGGGCTAGTATGTGGGCGTTTAGCAATTCGCCCACACATCAGTTTTCACGTACGCAGGGGGTTGGTGTGTGGGCGTTTATCACTTCGCCCACACGCCCGTCTCCTCGCCCACACCCAAAGCCGTCAGTTGCCATGTGTTTCTGCAGGGTACATGGCAACTGCCCTAGCTTTGCTTGTAAGCAGATAAAAACTCTTTTTTACCCGAGTTGTCATGTGTTTTTGCACGGTACATGACAACTGCCCTAGCGTGCACGTAAGCAGATGACAACTCTTCCTTTTACATGGGAACTGCCCTAGCGTGCTTGTGAGCACATGGCAACTCTCTCTTTTACCCGAACATGTTTTTTTGCCATGCCTTTTTTGTAGTGCTACATGGCAACTGCCTAGTGTTAGTAGGTGGCAACTCCTAAAGTTTTGAAATCATGGCAACTGCAGTAAACCAGACCATACATGGCAACTGCAGTTGAGCAACCATGGCAACTGTAGTTGTCCGACATGGCAACTATAGTTCAGCGACATGGCAACTGCAGTTAAATGAACAAGGACGAGGGTCCAGACCATGGCAAGTGCGGGGACGCGTGGTGACTGTCACGCGACGTGCGAGACCATAAGGTAGGAGGCCTGACGTACGGGCGTGTGGGCGCTATCTATTTTGCCCACACGTAGGCATAAGAGAGGGACCGCGAGAAAAAAAAAGAGGCGTGTGGGCATTACTTGTTTTGTCCACACGTAGGCGTGTGGGCTGATCCTCCAAAACATCACACAAAATGTGTGGGCAGACCCCTTAACGCACACACGTGTGGGCGTTATCGGCGTCCTTTTCTTTTTGAGGGGTGTTTTCTTTTTTGTTTTTTTTAGGCTAAAACACACGCTTTATTACTCAAGAATGTTCTGAGGAATACATCTCAAGTTTGGAGGTTGAAGCAGCCAAACATGGCGACCAATAGACAGACTAAGCACGTATTTAGCGAGGCTATGTTCCTCGATATTTGTGGTTCTACGTTCAAAAATAAAAGAACAAGATTGTCCAGACTCCAGAGCGAAAAGAACTGGGCCATATTCTCTTACTGCCTCGACCTGGGCTAGCGTTAAGAGGCTTTGGGCCGGGCCAGTCCCACCCGAGGCCTACTGCTCTTTCTTCAGTCCCCAGTTCATCGCGATTTGTAGTTCTAAAATAAATAAATAAAGCTCATCGTGATCTCCCTCCAACTCCTCCCCCAAATCGTGATCTCCTTGCCCAGGCTGTTTTCTGTTTTCCCCCTCTCAATCCATCGCATGATTCGAGCGCGCGAAGGGGAGGATTGCTTCGATGCACCGGTGTTGGCACGAGCGGTCGGGTAGGCGGTGGCCAGAGCTTTCCGCCGGCGGGCGCCTGAGATGGGGAGGAAGATGGAGGCCAGGCGTCGGCGTGTGCCCCTTTCTTCCCTCGCGGTGCACCAACGATGGCCGAAAGGGGGTGGGTGGAGCCGGAGGATGGTGGCCAGTCGGGTAAGATAGAACTCCGGCTACCTGAGTCTTTTTAGTCCACATCATGACTTCACATTGATTCCCACCGCTTTATTTAGCTCGGCAGCAGCAGAGCCATCGCGAAGTAGTAGTAGAAGGGAGTTAGAGTGCTTAGGACTAGGAGCATAGGTTAGGGTTAGTTAGCAGGGTGCAGGTAGAGGGGGAGAGGAGGGCC